TATTTCTTACACTTTCAGAGGCCAGGAAATCCAAAGTCCAGGGAACACATCTGGTAAGGGCCTTCTTCTGTGTGGGAACTCTCCACAGTGATGCAGGATATCACATGGCAAATGGGCTGAGTGAGAGAGCTAACCCCCATAGCACTTGACTTGGGTACAGCAGCAAGGCGTGGATCATCTCTGTCTAGTTGTGGTCCAATTTGCATTTTTATCTCATGTCCCCTGGGAAAGAAAGACAGGCTCATTCTGGCTGGATGGAAAGGCAAAAAAAAAGAAAGGGAAGGCTCTGCTCCGAAGTTTCTGACCTGGAGTTCACCTAAGGGAGTAGTTGGAGTGGTTGGTCTGGAAGAAGCAGGATAGTGGTCTCTCTATTCTAGGGTTTGTCTCTCCCTAGCAGTGTTGCAAGGAAGCTCTCTGGAGACCAGACCCTGGCAGTATATCACCCACTGGTATTCATACAAGGACCAGGTGGGTATAGTAGCTGGGTAAGGAAGCAATGCGTGTGTGGACATAGGGCATGGGAAGCCTAGCAAACTGCTTTGGTGACTGGACCTTTGCAGGATGAGGATGTGCAGTGTCTTGAGGCCTGTAGACCTGTATGTAACTCTTCCACAGCTGTATTCATAATATAAAGGTTTTATGCATTCCTGTCATCTACCAGTGGGCGGAGTACTTTTGGTTACCACCAGAACTCCAAGACTGAGAGAAACAGCGCATAGTAACAGCTTTATTGACCTGTAATTCCGTATTATAAAATTCACCCTTTATAAGTGTACAATTTAATGATTTTTAGTAAATTTATAGAGTTGTGCAGCCATTATCTCAGCCATTCCTATCACCCCCCAGAAGTTCATTTGGGCACATTTGTAGCCAAAACCCACTCTCACCCCTCGTTCTTAGCAACTACTACTCTATGTTGTTTCTTGATATTCACGTCAGTGGAATTGTACAATATGTGACCTTTTGTGTTCAGGTCTTATCATTAGTATAATGTTTTTGAGGTTCATTCATGTTATGTCATGTATCAGTACTTTATTCCTTTTTGTTGCTGTATAATATTCCATTATATGGATATACCACATTTTATCCACCAGTTGATGGACTGTTGGATTGTTTCCAGTTTGGGGCTGTTTATTATGAATAATTCTGCTATGAACATTTACTTACAAATCATTGTGTTGACATGTGTTTCCATTTCTCTTGGGTAAATTCCTAGGAGTTGAATTGCAGAGTCATATGGTAAGTTATGTTAAACCCTTTAAAAACAGCTCAACTGTTTTCCAAAGTGGCTATACTATTTTACACTCCCACCAGCACTGTAGGAGGGTTCCAGTTTCTCTGCCTTCTTGCTAGCACTTGGCATTGTCACTCTAGTGGGTGTGAAATGGTATCTCAATGGATTTTTTTGTTGTTGTTAAATTGTGATAAAATATACATAACATAAAACCTACCATTTTAACTATTTTCAAGTGCAGAGTTCTGTGGCATTTAGTACATTCACACGGTTGTGCAACCATTACCCCTATACATCTCCAAAACTTTTTCATCCTTCCAAACTGAAACTCTGTACCTTTTAAGTAATCTCAGTGGGTTTTAATTTGCACTTTCCTAATGAATAATGATATTGGGCAGCTTTTCATGTACATATTAATCATCTGCTTATTTTTGATGAAATGTCTATTCAAGTCTTTTGCTCATTTTTAATTGGGTTGTCTTATCGTTGAGTTGTACAAATTCTTTATCTGTTCTGTATTCAGAATCCATATACATATTTGCAAGTATTTTCTCTCAATCTGTGGTTTGTCTTCTAATTTTCTTTTTCATTCTTTTCTTTTTACAAAGCATCTCATCCATGAGTGTCTTTTAACTTAGTTAATGGTGGGGCCGGCCTGTGGCTCACTCGGGAGAGTGCGGTGCTGATAACACCAAGGCCCTGAGTTCGGATCCCATATAGGGATGGCCGGTTAGCTCATTGGGTGAGCGTGGTGCTGACAACACCAGGTCAAGGGTTAAGATCCCCTTACCAGTCATTTTTAAATAAAATAAAATAAAATAAAATAAACTTAGTTAATGGTGTCTTTAGAAGAGCAAAATTTTAAATTTTGATAAAGTCTAATTTATTAGTTTTTCCATTTAGGTATTGTGTTTTGGTGTCACATCTAAAAAAGTCTGCCAGGGCTGGCCAGTTCGCTCAGTTGGTTAGAGTGCAGTGCTGATAACATGAAGGTCCAGGGTTCAATTCCTGTACTGGCCAGCTGCCAAAAAAAGAAAAAAAAAATTTTTTTTTAAATAATAAAATAAAAAACTCTGTCTAACCAAAAGGCAAAAAATTGCCTTCTGTGTTTTCTTCTAGAAATGTTATAGTTTTAGCCCTTACATTTACATTTCTGATCCATTTCATTGTAATTTTTCTGTGTGGTGTAAGGTAAAGTTCCAAATTAATCTTTTCACATGTGGATATCCAATTTTCCCAGAACCACTGTTGAAAAGAAGATCTTTCCACATTGCACCTTTGTTGAAAGTCAGTTGAGTAAAGTTATTTCTGTACTCTCAAGTTTATTTTGTTGATCTATATATCTGTTCTTTTTTTTTTTTTTTTTTAAAGATGACCGGTAAGGGGATCTTAACCCTTGACTTGGTGTTCTCAGCACCACACTCTCCCAAGTGAGCTAACCAGCCATCCCTATATAGGATCTAAACCTGTGACCTTGGTGTTATCAGCACCACACTCTTTCAAGTCAGCCACAGGCCAACAGGTATATGTTTGTTCTTATACCAGTACCACACTGTCTTACTGTCATACTGTATGTCTTACTATAGCTTTACAGTAGCTTTTGAAATCAGTTAAGGTAAGTTCAACTTTGTTCTTTGTCAAAATTGTTTTGGCTATTGTAAGTCCTTTGTATATCCATATGAATTTTAGGATCAGTTTGTCAATTTCTACCCAAAAAATCAGCTGTGGTTTTGATAGGTATTACATGGAATCTGTATATCAATTTGAGGAGTATTGTCATCTTAAAAAATGTTGAGTCTTCTAGTTCATGAACATGGAAAGTCTCTCAGCAAACTATGTCAGCACTGCTTTATAGTTTTCAGAGTATAAATCTCAAATTTATTTATTTAAATTTATTCCTAATGGGCTGGCTTGTTAGCTCACTTGGTTAGAATATGGTGTTGATCCGAGGGTTGCAATCCCGTTGCCGGTCCCCGGTCCAGTACGGGGGCAACACTGAGGGTTGCGATCCGTTGCCAGACATGGAAAA